GACGACGACGACGACGGCGACGACTTTTCCCTCAGATATGGCATTGAGGTGGAGCCTGTCTTTAGCGGTGTGTATGGAGTGTGTTTTCTCGATGGTTGCATCTCTGGAGTATCTACGTCTTGTTGACCGTCGTGACCCCGCTGTCATTGGCGTGCCAGGTGGGTGACAGAAAACTACGACGACTTCAACCACAACAGCAGCAACAACAGCTACTACTGCTATTACTTCTACTACTACTACTACTACTACTACTACTACTGCTACTACTACTACTACTACCACTACTACTACTACTCCTGCTGCTGCTGCTCCTACAACAACAACTCGTACTACTACTACTACTACTACCCAACACCGCTGCTGCTACTACTGCTGCTGCTGCTGCTGCTGCTGCTGCTGCTGCTGCTGCTGCTGCTGCTGCGAGTACTACTACTACTACTACTACTACTACGGCTGCTATTACTACTACTACTACTACTACTACTACTACTACTACTACTATGCCACTACTACTACTACGACGACGACTACTACTACTGCTACTTCCCTTCTGTTCCTCTCAGGGCCTGCAGTGCAAGCGGTGGTGGCCACGCGCAGGGTGGCAGAGCCCTGACCCTAGACTCTGAATTCTGAGTTCGATCAGCCAGATTTGACGGTGGAGTGCGGTGGAGCTGTTGCTGGCATCGTGGGGCTCAAGATTTATTGGTAGCAGTAGCTAGGTTGTTGCAAGCTTCATTGACACTCTGTTTTCCTGCTAGGGAAGGCAAACGCGTTGCGTTTGTCATTTGGAGCAGTTAGTCAGGTGCGGTGACATGGAAACCCAGAGGTAGGTTTCCAGAACAGCAGGAAGAAGTCCGACTTAATTCAAACTGAAGGCATCAGCATATGGCAAGTACAGGAGCAGTCTAACAGTTTCGCAGCTGCAGCAGCAAGACGCTTGCGCTTGGCTGTAGGCTGTAAATTCTGTAGATGTATGCCCCTCGGCATCCTGGGCCCAATGCAGATGGCCGTCGGATTATGGGGATTCGAGAGGTCGAGTTCGTGAATCCCGAGTCCATCTCCGAAACCTTGAAGTGCCCGGCACCTCGGCGTACGGAGCATACGGACCAGGCCCAGCCTGTGGTCTAAGAGACGGATTTGGATGAGGTATGCTTCGAAGTGTTCGAGGATCCGGTCTTCTGTGGCGGCCGGCCGTGCCAGCACGTCTTCTGCCGCACCTGCGTAGAACAGTCCATGGTCGCCGAGTCCTCGCACTCTCAATCTGCCCCTTGGCCTTGTCTGCTGGGCACCGCTTAGCTGGGCGGTGATTAGCTGCATGGCTCAGGCTCAGGCGCCCGAGGAGACGATGGGGCGGACTGGGCACTGCCCCACCTGCCGTGCGAGGATAGGTGTGGAGGACGGGGCAAGGGGGCAAGTAAAGCTTGCAGTAACCTGTCTAGCGTGGGCTGATACACCGCATATACATTCTCGTTCTCCTCACTTTACGCACCAGTTCCCCAATTCATCGCAGTACTGACAGCTGCTGCAAGGCAGGAGGTCCAGACTTCGCCCGTAATCCACTGCCTTGCAGGACCTGCAGCCGCACCAGGACACCGCGTGACATGAGGCTTTGAAGGTCTCGAAGCCCCGATCTGCCATGACAGGCGCTGAACAGCCTTTTGGATGAGCTTCCTGTGCGGTGCCGGCGTGGCTGTGGCTGGACAGGCGCGTGTTGATGTTCGCTCTGCCTCTGCCTGACACACCTGACTGAGAGGCCGGCGGGATGCTTTGCCCTCCCACGAGTCCTCCGGACCCAACCAGTGCATCCTCCTGCGACTAGATGCCGCCCAGGTGGGAGAGCTCAATAACACGAACTTGTCTCCCATTCTCCGCGGAACTGTGCAGGCAGAGATCGCCTACCTCAGCGAGGCCGCAGTGGAGTCCTAAAGCCTTTAGCGAGTCGACTCGCGAGAATGAAGGCCGGTGGCCACCTGCGAGATCGCGACGTGCGCATCGCCCAGTTGGAGGCCCGGGTGGCCGAGCAGGATCGCCAGGCCGGGCTTCGCTGCTTCGCCTCTCAGAGCAGCTCACTCTCACTCCTTCTCTTTCTTCTTTATTTCCTTTTCAGAAGAGCTCGTGAGGTCGTCGACTACGGCCGACAACTCGTGGCCAAGGAGATACGTCGCTCGGATTTCGATCCGCTGCAGCAAACCTACGCAGGCGTCGGAGAGCCTTTCGGAGAGCCTTGCTCAGGCATTCAGGAGTTGGAGGGGCTGCTCTCCCAACGTGAGCAAGATCTTACTCAGATGCCCGGCGACATTGGAGTAGGCCTTGTAACTGAAGCAAGCCTGCGACAACGTCAACTTTACAGGAAAGACCTCGAGATCGCCATTCTGCGGCAAGGCGGCGCCGCTGGGCAACAAAACAGAAAACCCACAGCTGAGACAAGCTATGCTCCAAACCCAGGCAGGGGTCTTTTTGCTGTTGAGATGTGCTGGAGCTCAGGATGGCGAGAAGGGGGCCGTGGCAGGGCCAGAGCTCTGGCTTTGAGCGCTCCATGAAGGGTTGGCCCTTGGGCACGGGGTCAGAGAGCTTCCGTGGCCAAGGTTCCAGCCACTTCCAGTTTTCTCTTACTTCAGTGGATCTCTACACCCTCCATGGGGTGTAGATATGTGTGTGCATAGCGTCTCACCGGCGTCTCGCCGATGGTGCTCCGAAGCCCGGAGACGAGCGAAACGATCCTCGCGCTTCTCTTTGCTTCGAGAGGGGGTAGGGCGGACGTAGGGCCTGCGGCGAGAGATCCGAGTGGCGAGGGATCCGAGCTTTTCACAGGGACGCAAGCGAGCTTGGGCTGCCGATGTTTGCCACGGACTTACCGTACCAGTCCTTTGGCTTTTCCCTTGAGTGCCCATATATTCCACTCCGGAGTGCTGCTTTCAGTTCATCGACACCACAGTAACCACAGTGCCGACTAAGACGGTCTGCCACCCAGCTTGCAGTTCACAACGGAGCCAAGCTAAGCCAACGCTGTCGCAGGGCGGCGCGAGGGTCCTTGGCTCCGTGGTTTGTGCCGAGACGAAGAAGGCCGCTTCCGGTACATCAACCATCTTTTGGCGGACCCAATGTCCGTTGAGAGTGCATATCTCAGGTCATTGGCGAAGTTTGTCAGGGCGTCGTTGCGGCCTCGGCGAGTGCTGCTTTCAAAGACTCTTGGTGCTCTGTGCTTCCGCAGCACCGGATTGGCTGATTTCGTGTTTGTAGGATTGGTATCCCTCGTGCTCTTTGCGCGGTGCTGCTTTTTCTTCGCACAGTGCTGTAGTGGATCCGTTGATAGGTTCCGGTCCTTTTGAGGTGGTTGTCGATCGCATCTTGCCTTCAGCTTTCTATATATATATATATATATATATATATATATCAGGGCATGCGCCGCAATGCTCGTAAGCCATGTGGCCTGCCTGGTGCTGGTGGCAGTGGGTCTCCAACCCGAGCGCTTGCCGGGACAGCTGCCGGGCTGCAGGAGATGTGAGCTCTCGGAGGCGGTTCGATGCCGCAGCGCAGGCACTCCTACTTCCCGCTGGACCTTTTCTGGCCGCAGAACAGGCTCCCTTCAAGCAGCATGGACATGGGCAAAGACAGATGTCCGGTCAGTGATGCCCCTCCGTCCAGCGGGACGTTTCATGTGGAAATGTGTACAAGGCGGCAGCTGTATGCTCAGATCCTTCCGTACACTCCAGCTCCGCGGCTTGCAGGAGCTTCGTAAAGTCATACCCGCACCGGAGACGAAGCATGTTGAAATTGAAGTGTGGGTCTGCATGAAGCAAGGTGGAGCTCGACCAGCTTCTTCTGGATGTTTCGACGCTGGCTCTTGCCCCAAGGGTTTTAAGTGGATTCCTAGGCCCCGAGGCCGAAGCAAGAAGTGCTGGAAGCTGAGGCTGCCATGCCTCCTTGGCCGTGGGGCCACTTGATCTACCAGGAGGTCCTGGAGAAGGCATTTTCTTCAGGACCCGGGGTGGGAAGCATCTGGAGAGGCATCTCTGAGTTCTGAGGAAGTGTTGCAGGAGTCCCTGGGCAGCTCGCAGAGTTTGGCGTTGGTCTTGGTGGCAGCTCAGTGTTCTTCGGGCACCTCGCGAGGCTTCGAAGGGAGACGCAGCGATTTCTAGGATCCTTGGTAGAGTGCCCAGAGGCTCGCAGGCCGAAAGCTGCTGGCAGTAGTGTCCCGGCACGGACGGACCGCATGTCGCTGCCACAGTGTTGCGGACACAGTGCGTTTTTATGTGTTGCTTCTGGCTTCTTCCTCCTCGACTCGACCGAGCGGCTCTTTGGTCCGTAAACCGAGGACTCCTTCCAGGGGCTGCCGGCTCCCGACGCTTTGAGAGATAACCCCTACTTCGTGGAGGGCGACTTTGGCCCTCCCGATGGCCCAGAAATTGACAACATCGCCGCCTTCCGAGAGCTGCTGGCAAGCTTCGGCTTGGAGAACACCGTCCACGTGGCGCGGCTTGCCCGAAACGAAGACGCAGAGAAGCGCAAAGATGGTCAAAGATCTGAGGCCGTCGCCTTTCGCAGCGGCTCAACTGCCAGCAGACTTCAAGCAGTCCCCCGACAGATTGGGCTTTCGAGGTTTCTGAGCTCGAATGTTGCTCTGCAGCGAGCCTAGGCTAGCCTTTGTGCACATTGACGGGGACTTGTACCAGTCCGTGCTGGAAGCTTGGCTGGAAGCGATTAGCGTAGGGCCTGTCGCTTTTGGAGCAGCCTTTCGCGGCAGTCCCCGGCATGCGTGGCGCAGGAGCTTAAACGCTGATGCTGCTCGCTCATTCATTCACTCCCTCATGCTATCGCCTGTTCACTCATGCAATCGCTTTACAGACTGCGCCGCCATCACTCCATGCGCTCCCTCATTTTCGCTCTTTCATGCCCCTTGCTGGCAAAACCGAGGATGCCCTTGAAAAAACATGGGACAGCGTGTCTGATGGCGGCATCGTGGTGGTAGATGACTTCTTCCACAAGGTGCAGGGCCCTGCACGTGCATCGGCAGAACCAGCGTGGATCGGAGCGGTTGCCTTTTGGTGTAAGTGAGCACGGGACTGCGCGGGAGAGCATGGGGCTGCACCCAGGTGCTACGGCCGATTTCTTCAGATCCAGGTCTTCCGCTCAGAATCTCGAAGCAGCTGTGATGCGATGGCCGTCGGATGCAAGGAGGATGCCGCCTCCGTTGCTCTTCGTGATCCCCGCCTATGCGGTGCTGATCGTGAAGGGCTACGCGACCCACCTGACAACGGCCCGCTCTCCCTTCCGGGCGTTGGACTTCCCCTCGGCTACCGAGCGAGAAAGAATGTGAGCCTGAAGCCAGTACTTGCTAAGGATGGCAATTTCTATTCCTTCGAGCTTCTGCGGTCGTACGAGCCACTGGCCCGGGTCTCAGTGCTGCAGGCCCTTGATTCGTGGCAGCATCCGATCCGTTCTTGGCCAAAGTGCTGCAAAGGCCAGTATAAAGAGGTCTTTTTTGCCTCTAAGGGGTCAAGTCGAAAGGTGTCGGAACTGGCCCGCGAGGCCGGATAGGCCACCATGCAAGTGCCTCGAACAATTTGGCATGAAATGCAGATCCGAATTCGTACCTCATGCATGAGCACGCCGAGGCAGAGATGTAGTTTTGGTTCAAGTCTCCGTACCAATCACGGAAGCAGAGGGAACTAAGTCGCCTGCATCATATGAGCTGCTGTCACAATCACCATCATCACCAAATCTGTGGATGATTTAGTCGAGTCTAGCATAGCCTGAACCCCTTCGGACTTTTTTGAACCCGGAAAAACTTCAGCAGTTTCACAGCAGTCTCAGCCGAGGCGGAGGCCGTCCGTTTGTCGGCGCGTCGTGCTGAGCGGGCCAGTGGGCCGCGACCAGGTGGCTGCCCCAAAGCGAGCACGTCTTTCAAGATTCGAGGGGGAAGGGCCTACCTCTATGTTACACGTTCGTAGCTAGGTCAAGATGTTTACACGGAGATTGCGTTCACTTGCGCACGGCGAGTGGTGACGAAGGCAAAAACATCATGCCCCGATGTGCGATCAATGCCTTTCAGGTGAAAATGCTTTGGCATTTTTGGATTTTCTCTCGTATCCATCGGATGGCGCCGGAGTCTTGGCCCAGTGTCCGTGCTGGGGGCTCAGCGTCTGTAGAAGGCAGCCTTGTAGCCGCAGGCCCAAAGCGGCGCGGACATACTCAGGCCGCGTGTCTCAAATTTTCGATGACGTTCAGATCTTGGGCATTGGGGGAAGCAGTGATTGTTCAATTTCGTCGGTCAGGAAGGCATGGGAATCAGGCGAAAAGGCCTCTGCGTTGATAAGCGCCGGCGAGGGGATATATCTGCAGCGGCTGCGACAAAGACAGAGCATCACAGCCAACGTCAGCAAGCCAAGAGCTGGTGGCCGAGAGTTCGACAACAGAAATGGGCGATTCCGGGCAACAAGCTTTGCGGGTTCTTCGTCGAGAAGCACAGCAGACACTCCCCGCAGAATGCACACATAAACATAGTGAGGGACATAATTTTAGCCTGCCGTGTGCCACCACATGCATTCTCTATCAGGTATTTGACGCCGCTGGAAGACATGATCGATCTTAGTGATGGTGGAGCGTTAGCTCCTGACGGGCCCCGACAGGAACCTCGCCTGCGCTAGGGATTCTGTGGTTCTGCGAGCTACTGGGGTGCAGCTGAGGCGAGAAGGATGCGAATCCCGAGCCAGAGGCGAACAGCGACTTGGCGGCAGCCCGTCAGCAAAGGGAGGTACGTCCCCAGTCAACAGCGCAACCGAGGAGTATGTCTTCACAGGGTGCCGCCCCCTGCACCTGCAGTTGTGCAGTGAGATTGACATCGCAGTGCTGGAGAACGCGTCCTTGGTCGGCCTGGAGCAGGTGCAGGCTCGCCCCGCTCGGCTGGTCGCATGCCTGTGGTGCCCTGGAGTTGCTGAGGTGGAGGTCGAGCGTTTGGCCGAAAGTTTGAATGCTTGGGATGCGACCACAGCTGCTCACAATGCGGAGCGGCTGGATCGGATTGCAACGCGGCCGCAGGAGAGTTGACAGCTTTGACTTTGAACCTATAAGTCTCAGAAGTCATGACGCCTTTCAGGCTGTTCTGAAACGGTGGCTTTCCCAAGAACGAGAGCAAAAAAGCAGCCTCGTGTGCTCGCAGTGCTTGCAGTTCTTGGCCTCGTCAGAGTCACGGTGCAGTGATGCAGTGCTTCCGCTGAGGAGTGCCCAGAAATATGGAGCCAGCAGCCCCGGTTCCCTCTGCCTATGCGCTGTTCTAGGCGCGCAGTGTCTTCTGGCTGAGCGGCCCTTGAGGATGCCTGGATGGTGATCGCGAGCTGCTGGTGCGCTTCCCGGGCTTAAGGGTAAATGAGATGTGGAGATGCGCAGCACAGCGAGGCGACTCTTTTGCCGAACGCCGGCTGCTCAGAGCCGCAAGAATCCCGAGAGCATCCAGAAGCTTCGTCTGAACCCAGGACGGTTCCTCGTGGGCTGCTGCTCTGAAGCAGCAAAGTGCCGAGTCCAACACGTAGAAAAAGTCCAACAGTAATTCAAGAGATTCGTTGATGATCATGTTACTGTCGTTGTATGTTTCGCGGTTCTTGGGAAGGATTTCATCGGTATTGACGCGGCGAGTTCGGGCTTCCAGGTAGTGCAGTCACGAGGGTAGCAATTTGAGGGTGTTGGAGGCTTTGCAAATGCATGCAATGTACCCATCATGCTAACGATTTTATGCAACCATGGGTCTGATGATATTGATTCTGTGGTTGTATGTGCGTCATCATTCCCCCCTCTACCTCCACCCCCCACCCCACCTCACCCCCAGTAACCCAAGTACGAACAATTGCGTTGGAGGGGTTTTGGTGGTTTTGCAGATGTGTTTACCGCATTTTCGGGCTTCCAAGTAGAGCAATCCGAGCTTAGCAGCGAACCCGCAGTAGGGAGGGGTCGGGTGCCGCCGGCCTTCGCAAGATATTTCCAGTGCAGAATAGCTGTCGCAGAATTTATTTGCTCAGAGTTTTTCAGATGGTTTCAGATAGAGAGCTAGCATTCCGGCGAGATACAACGTTGCGTGCGCCGTGCGCCATGCATGCTGGTGCCCGTACAGCTTGCTTGCAGTATCGCAGCAGGGGCAGTTCGTCAGACAAAAGAGTAAATAGTTGCGGAAATCAATTTTTTGTTTGGTAGAAACCCGGAAGTCTGTTCTTAAATTCTGGAAATTCTGGACGTCCGGAGATTGTGAGAGCCATCTTGAAGCAATCCCTGTCCGCAGCATTTGGCATTAAGGACCAAGGGGCACGTAGCCATTCTTATGGTGTCGGGACATGCCCGACATGTGAGAAGTGAGTCTTGCCCATCCGTCGATGTGTGCTGGACAGGTATATGTATATAAATACATACATGTGTATATATAATGTATATATATATATATACACATACATATAGACGGATGCAACGCATGTGAACGCAACACGCCTTTGTGAAATGCCAGTCGCAGGTGCCGCATCCTCAACATGTCACACCCACCCAAGCCGGCCTGGACGGAAACGCAAAGAGCAGCGTCGACGTGAGGTGAAGCTGCATCTGGGTCAGCGCGAGCAAGCTTTGAAGCACGTCTTTGTCTGTGAGGCCTCTCTAACTGACCGATCGGTCGCTCAGAGGTGGTATCACAAAGGGCTCCATGTTTGTTTTCAGGAGCCGCAATCCTCCTTGGAACTGGCCTACGTTGCAGCCAGATATTTCGAGCGCTTTGTGCCCGCCCCGGTGCTCTTGAATTGGGCTGTTGTGTGTAACAGTACTTACACCAAGACTTCAAAATCAATGATCCTGGAGCCATCGCCAGAACAAGGGATGAATCATCGAGCTGTTGCCGAGCAGCAACCCATCGGTGCAGACCGTTTTGGTTCAAAGTTGGGAGTTGCTGTGCACAGCGAAGCTTCCCGACACGATGTCTGCCGACCCGGCGAAGGTGGAGGACACAGAGTTAAAGAGTTGCATCTGGCTCTTCAGGCAGATGCCCTTGAAGGCGTCGACAAGTCTTTGAGCCGCCTGTCACAGGAGCTCTGCAAACTCATCAGCGACAGCTTGCCGGAGCACTCCAGTGCTTGTGAGCTTGTGCTTTGTGTTTGGAGGCATTGGGCTTCTCGTGAGTAACGCCTACCTAGCTTGACGACGTGCGCGTAGTCTGAATCCATGCAAACCGCTGAGAAGCGCGAGGAAATCGACAGGCGGTTTGCTGCCATTGAGAATGCCCCCAAGATTCCGGAGGACGTCGGTGGGCTGGATGCGATCCGAAGATGCTGGTGGGTTTGGTGGTGGTGGTGGTGGTGGTGGTGGTCTGTTGGCGGTTAGGATGGCCATGGAAGAAGATTGTGCTTTAGCTTTAAACGCGTCATGACGATGACGGTGAACAGAGAAGAAGATGGTGACGATGAAGGTGATCCTGCCGCTCATGATGATGATCATAGAATCATAGGGGTCAGGCAGTTTCGCTTTCCTTGGCTTAGATACTCCCAACAGAGGGCATGAGCCCTTTGGAAGCTGACGCTTCTCTGGCTCCTGGGTTCAGGACTTGGAAAAGCGCTTGGCAGCTTTGGAGCAGAAGCTCGCCGCTGGCCCCGCAGCCGGGCCGACAGGCCCTGCAGCGGCAGAGCCAGGGGAGGCCTGGATGTGACCTGTTGTTCGTGTATGTTCGTGTTGGGGCACGCTTGAACCTGAACCGACAAGCCAGAAACAAAAGCCGCATCATGCCGCATCGCAGGTTGGCTCACAGCTAGTAGGTCCATCGGCCCAACGGGGATGTTGAGATGGCCTCAGGGGGGCAGGTCCCAGCGAGCCTTACCATGCGGCCTGTTTGGCAAAGGCCCCTGCCGAGGCCCAGGCTTGGAAACGGCTCGCCTGTGCCTCGCCTGCCCTGGAAGCCCAAAGCGGCCGTTCTGCGAGGCCGAGGGTCAGGGCCGGAGGCAAAAGGAGCAAAAAGAGCAGCTCGGCCTGCTGAAGAGCTGACGGGGCTGGGCCGCGCAGTGGAGATGTCGCGGGGAGTGGCTTTGCTGGCCTGGCCCTTCCTGGTCCACATGCTCTTCCAGCTCACAGACAAGCTGAATGCTTTCGATGGCCTCTTAGGCCGGAATCTCACCATGCGGGTGCTCGTGTATGTAGGCTCCTCCATGTGGCTTATGAAAGCCGCTCTCGCCACGGATCTTCGATACACAACCCGAGCACTGAACCACCTCTTATCCCGCGTGTTTCAAGCTGCGGGCCTGGATGGTTGGCTCTCTGAGAAGTCGTCTGAGTTCGTCATCTCAGTTCTGATGCGGGTTTCTCGGGTGACGGTTGCACTTGCAGCACTGACGCGCGGTCGAAAGCAGAAATCCCAGGGCAATGGACATGAGTCATGTTTTCGACTAGGTGACTCGTAAGTCTGACATCCTACAAAGACCTTTGCAGGGTGTGCTTACAAGTGCCGAGGAACTTTGGCTTTCGCGTGCTTCCGACCACTTGGGAGTTGGATCTGTCCAGTTCAGAGTCTCGGCGCACGTGCGATCAAAGGTTGTTGTTGGTGTTTCTTGCCGCCGCTGTTGTCCTGCGCCGGTGGCTGACGCAGCTCCTTATTCTTTTGCTGGTGCCGTGCGACATGACGCCAAGAGACCACACGTACATAACATATGACATATGGGTGGTAGTTGGCAGAGGGAATAAGGCGGCATGCAATGTAACAAGAGCATGTTGAGGTTCACGAGAGCTCAGGATCCGTATTTCCTGCTGCTGGATGCAAATGGAGATGGTATTCTTGCCGCATCCGAGGTTTTTCATTTTGCCACTTGGCCTCCCTTAGTGAATGCACCATGTTTGCTTGTATGGAGAGAGTGTTTCTGCTTCACACCTACTGTACGGCCTACGGGAAGCATTCCAGGTTTTCGACATCAGCAACCGTCTCTGGCGCGCTGCCGTGACGTCGGTTATCGGGCTCTGTCTGCTACAGCTGAAGAAGCCGCCAGAGACCAAACTTGTCTGGTCAGAAGCAATGGAGACCGGTCACGGCCCGTTGAGCAAGCTTTCTAAGATCGTTTATGCCATGCAGAACCCTCGTCACGGAGAACTGCGTATGCTTGCGAGACGGGTTGCCTTGGGAAGTCGCCTTATTAGTTGCACCATCGTCCTGAGCCTTTTCGTGCTGCCATGGGCCTACTTTTTCGGCCTTCGCCCGCACCTCGTGTTCGCTTTCGGGGGTGTCGGTGGCCTGGCTGTGGGCCTTGCAGCCCGAAGCTTTGTTGGCAATCTCATCGCTGGACTTCTGATTCAGCTTAATCGCCCCTTCGTTGAGGGAGACGAGATAGAGGACAAGAAGAACAAGCTCAAGGGTGTGGTTGAGGAGATCGGCCCAATCAACACGCATATCAACAGTCTGGAGGGTGTAATGGTTCATGTGCCTAACCAGACTCTCTTGGACGACGTTGTCATCAACAAATCCATCAAAGACTTTCGACCTATTGAGGAGTCCCTTTACGTGGTACCCTCCTCGTCCTACAGCCTGCCAGATCTTGTCGGAAACCTGCAATTATTGCTGGATTCCCATCCCTCGCTTATGCAAGAGGAGGATGTCAAACAGCTCATTCAGCTCCGCGGCGGTCGTGTGAAACTCTTTCGTCCTTTGGCCATGTTTGATGGCTACTGCGATCTTGGAGCGAAGGTGGTGATCTACGCATTCTGTCGTGGAGCCTTGTCCCGACGGGACTTCAAGGCCCTGAAGAGCCAAGTGATGCTTTCAATCCACAAGTGCATTTCTGACCACGGCGCCGAGATCGGCCACCTCACCGGAGCCATCCGTGGCCGGGGCCCAAGGCCCCAACGCGCTGTGACGGTGGCTCCAGCGACGGAAGTGAAAGGTCGGAACAACTTTGCCTCCACAGCCGGCCAAACCTCGAGCTGAGACCCACCAAACCCACTTAACTTCGGCCCAAAGATGCGCCGAGAAGAAAAGAATCGCTTGGGAGCGGCCGGGCACTCTGTCTTCCAGTGTTTTGCTACAGACGTCATGTGCATCTCCAGGGCAAGAGTTAGAAGAAGAAGGGCAGAGCAACTTCGTGCAAGGGTGAGGGCTTGGGCCGGAAACAGGTTTCTTGCCGTGCCTGTTGTGTCTTCTTGTATTGTGATGATTACCATAAACTTATTGTCTTTATCATGATTTCAGTATTATTAATTCTGGCTATTCGTATTACTGATTAGTGTTATTTTTATTGCTACTCTTGTTGTTTTTATTAAGGTTATCAGAATTATGTGTATCACCAATATTTATATGATCGCAATTTTCAGTATTACCTTCTAGACCCATCAGTACTATCATTATTACTATCGTATTGTTATTGCTGCATCATCATTATTGTTATCAGCGTTTTTGTTGTTAGTATCGTAAGAAGTATAGTAGAAGCAGGCCTAACTCCCATTATCAATAGTGTTGTTTTTGTTATTGGTGTCATCATCAGTATCACTATTTGTCATCTTCATCATCGGCAGCAATATTTTTCAATGATAT